CGAGATCGTGACCTGAGCCGAAGTCGGATGCTTAACCAACTGAGCCACCCAGGCGCCCCAGGTCTCACTTTTTTTAATGTATGCATCCCTAAAAAAGTATAAAAGATGTTAAATTTGGGGACCTCGTGATAAAAATAACTTCAACCCCATATAAGATCTGCTTAAAGAATATCACCTGCATCACCTTAAAACAGAACTACTAGAACATTTAACCCTAATTAAGTTCAAATGCTACTGACAGTGTAGAAAGAGTAAATTCTCAGCACTGTTGCTACTCAATTAGTCAAATGTGAAACTATTTTGCAGGACTACCCCTTCCCATTTATTCACTGTGGCAGTTTTAATTCCTTTTCTCTCTCCTTCAAGGTCATGTCAGTTTAACTAGACTGCTCAAGGTTAAGAAATGTCCCAAGAGCACTGTATTTTACTTCTACTAAAAATTAGCAAAGGTATTTAAATTAGAAGCATTAAAGATAAGTTATCTCAGACCCCAAGGACAAAGATGCCAGTTAAAATTACTTGAAAAGCCTTTCCTTCAACTCAAACAATCAAAAGGAATATTTAGAGCATAGGAGTGGAAAAGGGAAACAAATGATCTCAGATTCAAATAGGTTGTATCAGGCATTCACTTTGGCAACATACATACTAAAACTGAACAAAGCTTGGTTTCTCTATAGCTCCCAATCACTTGTCACCTTCTGTAAGAAGCCTTCTTTGATGACACTGGCCAGCAGTATGTGCCCCCCCCCACCTCCCAATACTACCTTGCACTGGATTTCTACTTTCCCTACTTCGAGAAGGCAAGCACCCTTCAGTATTACTCATACCATTCTGTATACTACGTAAATGAGATTAAGACCTAAAAATGTTATTTTTAAAACTAAGATAAACATAAAAGTCCTGTGAAAACTGGTGTAAAATTTTACTTTGGAATTTGGATCAGACTGAGGCTGGATTCAAATCCCAGATACTCTACATTCTACCTGTATGGCCCTTAAAAAGTCACTTAATCACTGTGGACCTTAACATCACATCTGTCAAATGGGAATATCATTTGCCTTGCAAGATCACTGTAACAATGACATGGGAATGTATGTAGTATCTACCTCGTAACCGGCAGTGATTATTTAATAGGAAAATACGTATTATTAGCTTGAGAAGGACAATCTAATGCCATGTATTGTTTCTCTAGCCCATGTTCACAAAGGGATCATTTCTACTTAAATATAAACAATTTTAGACAAAATTAAAAGGAACAGCACCATTAAAATTTTCTTCCAAATAGGTCATCTTTTCTATCTGATCCCACTATACAAAGACCTTCATGTTCATTTATAAGATCAGAAGTTTAAACTCTAACAGGGCTAACTAAGTATGATTATAAAATGTTTCCACTTAAATTAAGACTGTAGACGCACTCTATTTTAGTCCTGAAACGGGTGATTATATCCATGCTTAAATATCAATACTTAAAATGAATTTGAAGTATTAGTCTCAGTCTGTCAAAATATATTCAAACAACAACAAAAAAAAACACATCAACAGTCTTAGTAAGCTGAAGTCCTCAAAGTAGGTATCTACAGAACAGTTAATTACAAAAAGTGGGGTGGGTAGGAATCCTATTATATTATGGTTCTATACACTGGCTTCCATTCTGTGAGTCAGAAAGGCCTAGGCAACTGAGGGAAAATAGCCAGGAGCATGCTCTGAAGAGAAAACAATTTATATTGCTAAATACACACACACACACACACACACACACCCACACACACCCACCCACCCCCACCAAAAATCCAAGGAGATAAAACTGACATGGAGTTTATGAAATTTTTCAAAGGAAGCAGCTAGGAAATACAAAGATAGTGGATCTCAAATTTTCTGGTTTTGTCTTAAGTAGCTTCTCTCATCCATTATTTTTAACTCCATGCTACCATGAAGGATGAGCAATTTTTTTTTTTAAATTTTTTTTTTCAACGTTTATTTATTTTTGGGACAGAGAGAGACAGAGCATGAACGGGGGAGGGGCAGAGAGAGAGGGAGACACAGAATCGGAAACAGGCTCCAGACTCTGAGCCGTCCGCCCAGAGCCTGACGCGGGGCTCGAACTCACGGACCGCGAGACCGTGACCTGGCTGAAGTCGGACGCTTAACCGACTGCGCCACCCAGGCGCCCCAGGATGAGCAATTTTAACAGCAAATTATATACATGCAGGAGAGGCCTAAAATGTTGCCATTAAACAAACAAAAGAAAAAACACCTGTAGACTCTCCAGATTTTTTTAGTTAACACATAAGGAAAAAACAGATTAACACAGTTTAACTCACTTACATAAATTACTAAAATCTAGCACTGCATAATTTTGCTTACCTGCCATACACCCACAATAGCATTGGCTACTAATATAAGTAAAATTACAAAGGGTTCTACAAAGGCTGTAATTGTTTCTTCACCTTCTTCAAACCAAGCCAAAACCTAGAAGAGAAATGGCACGGGTTAGAACTGTAATGTGTTTTTAGGCTTAGTGCCACTTTACACCAGAAGTGGCGAGCACTAAAGGAATTGCAATATTCCAAGTCTCTTTTCTTACAGTCCCTAGAAACAAATGGTGGCAAAATGTAAGGACATAAACAACGGGCTTACGTCTCTTGCTCACAGTACTTCTTGAGAATCTAAACTATACAACTTCTTAATACCCTTCAAAAGCTAACTTTTCACATAATAACTGTTTTAAAATCCAAATAAAATGATTTCTGGGAATTAAATCCCATTCATTTTATATGTATATATTCAGAAGTAAAACTTAAGTTCTTGGTTTTGTTAAAATAAAAGGCAATCATCCACAACTCTGCTGACTTGCTTCATATCAAATCATATCAAATTAATATCAACTAATATCAAATAATACCCACAGACATAAACTTATAGTAAAAATATTGTGAGGGGCGCCTGGGTGGCTCAGTCAGTTAAGCATCTGACTCTTGATTTCAGCTCAGGCCATGATATTATGGTTTTGAGACTGGGCCCCCACTGGCTCTGTGTTTAGCGTGGAGCCTAGTTAAGATTCTGCCTCTGCCTCTCTGTCCCTCCCCGCATCTCTACAAAAACAAAATAAAACAAAAACCTTGATCATGAACTCAAAATTCTGGAGTGCAAAACCTGATAATGTCCCAGTTATTTTCAGTGGTTCTATTATAGGTCGCCTCTTAATACTCAAGGTTGTTCTGATCAGGAATATATTTTGAAGGTTATCCTACATATGACAGTATAGCAATACAGTACTTTAGAGATGACAGAAGTCCAAAAATGTTATTTACAAATGGACACAGAACACTGCCCCAAGAAAAATGAGCAGAAAATTAATTTCTAGCTCACACAACCATAACCTTGTCAGGACATAAAAGCTACGAGTTAAGAGAGCCACAATAAACTTCATAACTGAGCAAACTTAAGGTGGTAGGAGAACCCAACACAACAAATCTTTAATGATAAAGAACACAGTAAAAGAGCCATCTAAATGGTTAAAAACTCATTTCTGTAAAAAACTGCCAATCCAGAAAGGATGTCAAATGTATCTAATATTCAATCTAGGAGATAAGATTTGCCTTTAACATTGCTTAACATGCTTGCATGTTTCACAATAAAACCTTTTCTCTAAATCTATTTAGTAAACAATCAAGGTACTGGTTTTGATACTTTTTAATACCGTGGGATAGGATTCATGGCAATAATGAAACCATCTATGTTTATACTTAGTGGAATACTATAAAGTGAGCTTTTACACATATAGGAAACATAGTAAACAATCAGAGAGATGAATAAGGCCAGGCCCAACATGGATTTTGCAAGATAGGGGAATGATGAACAAGAAATATCAACCTGAGCAGGAAAAAAAACCCAGGAGACACGAGGACCAGGTTCTGATAGGTACCAATGACCACTGACAGCTAGTGAGAGAACCAGGGCAGGCAGAAAACCAGAACGAATATAAATGTTGCCACAAGCTTTCAACAGGGCATTCCTGGTGTTAAGGTCAGGCCTAGTGCCAAAATGAAAACTTCTCTAGGAAGTTATAAATTTTGATAGATGCAAGATCACAGCTGCTTTGATACTAGCCTTTCAAACATTTGCCAAGGAGAACATATCAGAAATAAGAAACTTAATTAGCTCTTGGGGGAGAAAAATCGCTCAACTTGAAGAGTAACTAGGACCTTTCCAAAGGTCAGTGAGGCATTAGCAACTGTAAGATAAGCTTCACACCTTGTTAAAAAGGGTATGAACTTCCCTCTTGGCAGCTAGTCCTGAGGAACAAACTTAAAGCAATAACCCCTAAGAGTTGGAGCAAAAGACAGGACTATCAGACCAAATCTCTACTTTTCAAGAAACGTGTGGTTTTTCTGCACAAATAGTATTTATCACTTACGTAAAAATCCTAATCTATACAATGTAGTAGCCTTTTCTTAACACTATATGACTTTAAATGTTTCTGTGTAAGATACCCAGGCATTCGTAATTATTTGAAAGTTCTACAAGTATATTAACTACTGTTTGATGAGAAACTAGTAGGCAAATTCTCAGGGTGGAAGGCTGGTGCTGAACCTACTTAAAATAGACAACCATCAACTTCCTGAATACTTTTTAAAATGTCTGTTTTGAAACCACAAATAAGCCAAATAATTAAATGCTACAGTCCAAAGTGAAGATCAACCCATATTTCGTTAACTGGTAGGAACCAATCCAGTTGTTCAGGTTCATATCATATTATGCGGTCCTTCATGGTTTGTTCTATTGTAAAGAAAACTTCCAGTGTATGTGGGATGATGCTGCTGACAAATGAAAGATCCCATGAGACGTGGAAGGGAGTGAGGAGGAGTGTGCGGCACAGGCATCTTTCATTTTGGTGAAAGATGCCTTATTGACATTATAGCACAGTTAGTTCATAATTACGGTTTATCCCAAGTTATACAAATGTTTGTATGAGGGAGAATGTTCCTAAAAATCTTTACTGAGAATAGGTGAACACAAATAATTATCTATTTATATTGCCTTGTGTTCGCCTCTGTATCCCCAGAGGCCTAGAAGAGTCTCTGGTACACAGATGATGCTATTTACTGTAGAGAGGCATGAATGAATGAAACAAAATTTCATACAACTTTTGCGGTACAAGACCCTAAGGGGAGTATATGAACTTCAACACTCAGGGTAAGAAGTAACCAACTTAATCAACACTATTCTACTGCATAATGTTAGGCAGGGTGTTTCTTCTTTCCTTTGCTTTGCACTATTAATACAGTACCAATACCAATCTTCTGGGGCTTATATAATCCAGCAAGTTCAAAGTGTCAAATTTGCCAATCCTATTCAAGGTAACCACTTACTAATGAATGTTCAACTACAGTTTAAACTGCTTCAGTACAGCAGGACAGGCTGTCTAGTTATCTGTTAAGACTGATCTCTGCACATCACAGTAATTTCTGATGTGACAACCAAAAGACGCTGGAGAGCAGAGTTTAATGAATAAAAGCAAATTTATGGGGCGCCTGGGTGGCTTGGTCGGTTAAGCGTCCGACTTCGGCTCAGGTCATGATCTCACGGTCTGTGAGTTCGAGCCCCGCATCGGGCTCTGGGCTGACCACTCAGAGACTGGAGACTGTTTCAGATTCTGTGTCTCCCTCTCTCTCTGCCCCTCCCCTGTTCATGCTCTGTCTCTCTCTGTCTCAAAAATAAATAAACGTTAAAAGAAAAAAAATTTAAAAAAAAGCAAATTTTAATCCAAAGTAAAAAGGTATATTCCAGTGGGAGACAGTCATGGTTCTGTGACTCCATTATCTTAGCTCCATGTTGGGATAATGTACTGAGCTCTTAACAAGATCCAAAAAAAAAAAAAAAA